TGTGGTGACACCTGCAGCATCGGAATTTATCTATACGCCTCCGTTGATGATGACACCCGTGTCTCAGGTGAGCTTTGGCTGTGTCGTGTGTTCATTACTCATTAGTTGTTCAGTACACATCTTTTTTCGTTTGTTCGTTTGATTTACTTAGCCCCGTTCAACCTCCGACTAGGGAGCTAGTCTCGTCCTGGTCAATATCGGTTATAATTATGGCAGGAAATCGTGTTGCTATTTCAATCCTTAGTGTTTAGTACTTTATATTATGTCTTCCGTGTCTGTCTGGCCGGCCTGGTCGTGTCTGTTTATTATGCAGGTTTGAATATGAGGTCCTGTTCACGTTTCCTGGCCCATCTACACACTGACTGACCTTTCATTCATACTTTCTCAGACTGTTCTACGTCAGAGGGGTGTCACGTTGTCTTGCCTCCAATTACATCAGAGCCGATGTCGCGTGTTTTACACTTCATAATGACACAGCTTTTAACGGCCACAGAACATCTAGAACTGGCCCTTACCCACAACCCCCCTACCTTAGGCCCCACGAGAGACTCTTTTAGAAGAAAAAGGTACAATATGACACCCCTCTGACCTAGACTAGACTGAGAAAGTGTGTAAATGGGCCGGCAAATGGTGGGACCTGGGGTGGGTGAGGGCGGCTGAGGCCTTTAATATTGGAGTTAGCGCGATGTGCTACAGTTTACAGATAGGCTGCGATATCAGCACGTTTTGGTCCAACGCATTCTATTTTAGCAAATCTTTAATTATTTTTTTTAACATCATGCATCGTAGGAAGTAGAGGGGCCACCCCCCCCCCTTCCACACACACACACATTAGGGATCCGAAACATACATGGGGAATATACTTACTCTGTATGATAGATAGAGACGCCTGTGAGAAACAATGCACAGATGACGGGGAAAGGATCAACAGCTACAGTGAAACCTGTTTTACTGTTGTACGTGTGAATGACCCACACACAAAAATCATATATTATTCTTGGATGATCGAGCTCTCTCTTACGTGATCGCACAGTTTGTGTTTGGTTTTGGTTCATGGCAGACTGAAAGTTTTTAAAAAATTTTTTTTTAAAAAAGTATTATTTGGTATGTTATCACTACGATAGCTCGGGGGCAACATATCTACGGAAATATAGAACTTCAAACACATACGGCACATAATAATAAAATACAGTTGTGCTAAACGTAACAATAATTGTAGTTGAGTTGAGTCAATAATTGACATCGCAGCACTCGGGGCATTGCCATGCATGCTCCATCCTCATCTTCGGCAGCCAGCGCAGAGTTCCAATACTGATGGTACCGGTCACAATCTGGTTAAATGTCCGTCTTGCCTTTCCTCTGAGTGTAGTGAGCCGGCCAGATCCTCTGGTTACACCCAGGTACCCCATTCTCTCCAGGCCATAATAATCTTCTTTCTCTACTGATTCCGTTGCTTGTTCCCAAAGGGCTTTGACCACATCTGCCTTGTCATGTATCAATTCACTACCCAGTGGTACGGATCCAGCCAATCTGTCAGCCTGTTTATTTGCCACCACAACGGCATGGCGTGGAGAAAAGATATAAAGTATGCTCACTACTCGTGGCCTTTCCAGTGAAGCTTGCCACTCTGCTCGAAGCATCCCTGTCTTCATCTTTTTCCGCATGCTTTCAGAGTCAGTTACAATTACGACATGTGTATTCATCTTGTTGTCTAGCCACCGGGAGCTACAGTTACCGCCTCCACCTCCATTCTTATGCTAGATGTGGTGGTGTCATATGTAAGACTGTCCTGCACTAAAGATTTTCCATTGGCTTTCGCTACGAACCCACAGGCACTTCTCTTTCCTCTCAGCACCAAACCATCTGTATAGATATTCAGATCACCTGGGTGTGAGTTGTCGTGAATCAACTGTTGGACTTCAACTTCTGTAGCACCCGCTGGCAACTCTCTGCACACCCGGCGCGACGTACAGGTTGAGATAATAATTGTAATACTGTAATAATATTTGTTTATATTGTGCACTTAAACATTGTTCAAGTCCCTTGAGGGGCTTTCAGATCCGAAATTGAGAATGGGTGGAGCGCCCTCCGTCAATATTTCCTCCGTGTCAGCGCCCTTGCATATCTACACACACAGTCATGCATAAATAACACACGCACACATATACAGACACACGCACATAAATACAGAACACAAACTAGAGTACACTTAACATGCATTTAACATAAGCGCGAAACGTTAAGCGTAGTTGTCCAAAGTGTGAGCCTCCTCACTGTCAGCAAAACCCAGCAAGAAAGACTAGGCCGGGTATACAAAGGAAGCCCTGAGGCTCATACGTGGCTGCACAAAAGACGTTTTCTGACACGTCATGCGATGCGTCCTGGGCTTACAGACAATAGCTAACAGATATAACATTGCACAGATCATCTCTAAATTTGTCATCACAGTGGAGAGGTACTGCAGGGATCAGATTCCTGCGGCTGTGGACACAGAGATCAGGGCACTGATAGATCAGCATTCACAAACCAAAAAGACATCATGATCTGCATGATCTGCATAGATGAATCCTTGAAGCGTGGATCAAGGTCAGCATGGGAACACAGAACAACGGATGAGGAAAACTAAACAAAAGGACAACGGTCCTTACCAGGCAACCACGTCAGGCTTGACCATGGAGATAGCCTCTGCTTCTTTAGCACTAGCATGGGTGTCCACCAAACAGCCATATCGGTAGTAATTGTATCAGACTCCATGAATATGCTTCAGAAAATAGCAACAGGTGGTATGCGCTCTGAATGGGTAGAAAGCATTCGACAATTGCACTTCACTTTCCTCCCCTGGATCTTCACACCTGGTCATGCAGGCGTAAAGGGAAATGAGCGAGTGGCCCGGCTGGCAAGCAATGCACACCACACAAGTGGGAAGAAGCATGGACAGAGCAGATATCGTCAACGCTGTACGGACCGGGTAGTCGATAATGACGAATCTCTGACACTAACAGGATTGCGTGACATGAGAGAAAAGCATAGTGAAGCACGTCTACGCCGCATTCTAGGTCGAAATAGGAGACATTATATCTAACCTCTCATGAAGACAATTTTAAGAAATACCTTGGAGGGGCTGCTGCATCGAAGGACTGATCACGCATGGGAAAGCCCAGTGTGCAGTGATATCGTTTATGATACCATAGTATAACATTTATTTAACATATCCCCGATACTAAATGTATTAAGTTGACTATTTCTGTGCAATGTTTTCACACATATTTTTCCCCCGTTAAATTCTTTGAATTACTTTTTAACTCTTCTGGAAACTGAATGCACGGTGACATGAAGGTCATATTTAGGTAGCAACTGAAGCAACGGATCACATAAAGATATGTGGGTCAAACGAATGGGTGAAGAAACTCGAGGGCGTGGGCCTCTTGGGGCAAAAATAATATGACTTTTATCATCATAAACCACTTCTGCCTTTAAGCGACGTGGGGAGGAATAATTTTCCATCCGGTGGACGCTGGCTTCCATTGGTTATTATTATTTCTAGAAATAAAACCCAAACAATGAGTTTATAAATATCGGGGCGGGGAGGTGACAAAGCATGCAGCAGCCCCTCTAACATTCTAGAAGGGGACTGAACGCCCCCTAGAATTTCAAGAGCGAGACCCATTCCGTCGCCCCTGTAAGAGATATTACTTTCTAAAAAAAAAAAAAAAAAAACTTTCAGCATATAACTCACACGTGGCAGGTCCTGAGATTGGTAGGTGAATTATTCTTGTGAAGGGATTTCAATTACATGTGATATGTCCGACTTGACATGCGGGCTTACAGGTTTAATCAATGTTTTACATATACATCGAACGGATCGATACAAAATATAATTTATCAATGTGATCGATTTGAAATTCCTCCCGTTTGCAATTACGATCTAATTCATTCTATTTCACATGCATGATTTTTTAATAATTTTTTTTAACCATACATTCTTCTCTGCTAATTTCTGACGTAAGTGTAAATAACGTTTCGAGACCTATTCATTACTATTTTCTTCTTGCATTTGTTTCTTTGTGCCGCTAGGCGTTTTTTATTTTATGATCGGCATAGCCAGGGCGCGCTCAGTGCTTCATTTGCTGTGATGTTATGAAGTAAGATGTCCGTGACTCCTTCAATCCATTTCGAGACTTGGCCTCTTGTTGTTTCGATTTTCATGTTGGTATGCTCTTGATGCTGGCCTGTTTTCTCATTAGGTGACCAAACCATTTCATTCTTTGCTTCTCATAAATTTAATCTATGGTTCATCTTGTAATCACATCGTTTCTCACTCGATCTCTTGGTTTTATTCGCAGCCATTCTCAAACTCTCATTTCACAGGTGGTAGTCTTCTCTCATTTCTTTTTAATGTCCAAGTCTGACATTGATAACCTAATGTCGGAATATAGATTGTATAATAACAATATCTCAGCTGGGACAGCTTCTTTTAAAATTGGGGCAAGGGTATGCTTGTTTTGTTGGATTCTTGCTTCAATCTCTCCTTGATGTAATGCCCTGTTTAACGAAATGATAAATTAATCTATCATCATCATGAAGCAGGTCCTTTGCAGAACGTCGCTCTCATCACGGTCTATTATTTTTTCCAATCCGTAGTAGAATTTGATATAACCACAATATTTCAGCTTCTGAGACAGTTCAAGCCATTCGTCCTTGGTCAATCTTTCAAGATGTCATTATTACTTCTGAGAAGTTACGGGTTACCCACCAGGAAATCACACAAGCGATAAACACCCGATGACATAATGTGTCACCATGTGGATGAGGATCACCCGTGGAGAGGTCCCAGAAACCGCGTTCAGCCATTAGACCATTTTATAACCGAGCTATATGGCGGTCCCGAAAAATTGCATCCCAAAAAAAGGGATGACAAGGTTTTATCGCTTGGTTGATGTACTGGTGTGGCTGAATCTCACTCACCATCAAAAAGAGCTAAACAAATCGACCAAAACTAGAAAGTTACTGACTTGCTTAGTCGATCCTCTTATACCCTGTGATTTAAAGGTTTGCCAGAGAGATCGCCAGACTTCTCTGTCAGGCGTTTTCTTTTAGCCGGATCCTCTACCAGTTCCATTCCGGATCCTCTTTCCGGCGAGGAATGTGGTATTTGATTTTTTGGCTCCTGGCCTCCCACGGTGCTCGGTTATCTCCCATTGGAGATTTGGTTAGCAGGTCCTTTGCATCCGTGGCCTCCCACAGTTTGTCTGAAAGAACTCGGTCCCTCCTCGCCATCTCCCTCATCTGCTTACATGTCTAAAAGTCATCTATATCCTGCCCATTTACGTGACGGCCCTCCCCTCCTTCCTGTACCATTTCTGTAAGACCTGGATTTCAAGACATGTCCAAAACATCGTAGCTGTGAACACATGGAGTTTTTTGGATTTCAAGATCATGACAAACTTTGTGGGCAAACCATTTGAAGCACTCAGAAGCACTCAGCCAGATCACCCTTCTGTTTCATCCAGGGTTGGGATTAATCATTAATGGAGTTAAGTAGAATTTAATTCCATGAAAATATTAAGGAAAATAAAGACAGGCATTGCGATAATGACGGCGTCACTCAGCGAATGCCGATTGAGCCATAAAAAAATATAGAACAAACAGGCAATGCCCAATAACTTCTATACATAAAACACGTCCTTTGGTTGAACATGAAATCCATGTCACCAAAACAGAGTATTTACTATACATAAATAATGAATGCTACCCGCTCATAAAATAACTTCACCTAATATATACTTTTTAAGGGCTTGTGCTATTAGTGTTACGAACCATCGATGTTTGGTTTAGCGTCATAAATCGATCGTTATGAGGCAGTTTTTAGCGGCGAATGTAAAGTGTATTAAGTTTATTCTGATAGTTTTGTGTGGCTTTATGCGGGTATATGCTCATGTATGTACCTCTTGTGTTTTGGATATGTTTGCTTATATGGGGACATAGGGTTCGTGGATATGCCACCCTTGTTGGGCAAATAAAGAGGGTAGGGGGCGGGGGTGTGGAGAGACGGAAAGACAGACAGAAGGATTGAGAGGTAGGCAGACTGATAGACATACAGTGGATACGCAGATCAGCAATCAGGTAAGTACGATAGATCAATAAAATATAGGTTTAGCCCTATGTGCCCAACACGCCCGACGGACTGAAAAGGGCACTGGTTTGCTATGTAGTGTATCTAGGCATAATAATGATAAGCAACCTCAAACTATGTCCCTTTACCCCCCCCCCCTTTTCCTTCTTCTTTCAGATCACCAAAGGTCCCCGTCGAAACAGCCGCCCAGAATTCCCTACGGGGGATCGGTCAGTGATCTTTGACCCCGAGCAGTACAACCCAGATGGGTCGCTGAAGACCATGCACAAGCTACCAGGGTTTGACCAATCCTATGCTCAAGCTATGAAAGCCAGGTAACGTCTCCCTAAACTCCTCCGTGCCTAACTATTTGTCTAGATGCTTACCTGCTAGCTTCTCCTCTACCTTCTTCTCAAGGTCGACTAATCAGAAGTGAGCTAGTGTGTTTATGGGCGGTCTCTGGGGAAGGGGGACTTTCGTGGAACGCAACAATTGATCCTTGGTCAGTTCCACGTTAGTTCACCCCACAGCCCGCCCATATACACACTAGCTCACTTCTGATTAGTAGTTTATGAGCCGCGCGACCTTCGCACACAGCTACGGGGGTGTTCCGCAATGCCGTTGATATCGCGTGTTGTATATTTCAGCAGGCCACCGTTTTTAACACTACACAAACATTGACAAACTGGGTCTAACACAGTCACCCCCCCCCCCCCCCCTCAGAAAGAAGACCAGTCCAACAAAGTTATCAATAAAACGTGACCTACTTTGTTTAGGGAGACTAACGTTGAACTAAATAAATTGATCCTTGACCTAATTTCTCAGTTGATAACGACATGTATCTTCTCCTTGCAGATATGTACGACACCAGCAGCTAACAGACAAAGAGAAGGAACTTTCGGTCAACGAAATATTTGGCCGCAGCGACAAAAAATAATCTTCGTTTGTGCCTTCATTTTTGTGTGTGGTAGAACTGTAGGTGGTATTTCAGCATTAATTACCAACATTGTGATTCTACATTGTGTGCGTGTTTGTGTCTTGTGTCAATATAATGCCTCTGTGTGTGTGGGGGTCCCGGCGCCCCATTAGGAGAGAGGAGGTGGGCAAAAAATACAAACCCCCTCCTCCTTTTCTTCTCCACTGCGTCTTGTTATCAACACTTTCCTCCTCTCCGGGGAGTCACCGTGGTCCAGCGGCTAGATGCTCGCCTGCTGATCAGAAGGTCGTGGGTTCGGATCCTGTCGGAGCCGCATTTTTGTTTCCAGGTCGACCCGAGTTAAATGGGTACCAGGTACAGTCCTAGGAAGTAAAAGCGGCCGGTGTGATACTGACCACATCACCCTCTAAGTGCCGATTTGTCTATAAAATATCCTGTGCCGATCTTTGTGGTCTATAAAATATAGTCCTAGCCCTATATGCCCAATCCACATGAAGGCGTAGACAAGAGTCCTTTACCTGTACCTTTACTTCTCCTTTCCACCACCAGCTACCTGTACATCCTACTCACCTTCACTTTCCTTTTCCCCCCAATCTTCCACGTTTCATCCTCTTCTTCCATGTTCACCATCCCACTGTTTTTCCTACAATCAGCACGTTTCCACTTTCTCTAGTTGAATCTGAAACACTGTCTCGGTCAACTAGCCAGCTTCTCATTCCTTTAACATAATCGTGTGAATTGCAATTTCTCCATAGCAAAGGGGTCACCCCCAGAGCCACTCCGTTCCCCTGCCAATGAAAACCACAGAAATTGCCCATCTTTGTACCTTGTCAAGAAAAACTAAACTGACACACACAGCAGTCTCGACAAAACATATAGCATACACATTCATTAAATGCATAAGTCAGCTATTAGAAGTGCCAATACAGGCGGACAGCACTAGAAATGCAGTGTTCATTGTCGTTGGATATAGAAATTAGAACAGATCAGAAGTTGCACACGCAATTAATCCCACAAAGAACTGCCAGTTCTGGCAACAGGCCACTCGCCCTTTTCAGAATCTGCAGTTCACTACACTACCCGTATTAGGCACAGTCGAAAAGCATTCCAAATGAAATCTGCAGCTCAGAGTGTTGCGCCATGCATTCAGCGCAGTAGCTGGGCGATGGAGAAATATCATTTCTGTCCGAATATGGTTAACTATTTTCAGAAACAAAAACTTGCCCCGTCTAAAAAACAGTAAGCCTTCCTATCCATCATACTGCCCGAAGGTTTTGTCATTCCTTTGAATTCCTAGAAGAAGAATAAGAATAAGGAGGAGGAGGAGGAGGAGAAGAAGAAGAAGGAGGAGGAGAAGAAGAAGAAGAAGAAGAAGAAAAATACAATGAGGAAGAAGGTGTAGGTGTAAGTAGATGGTTTGCTAGAAGAATATAAAAACTCGTGAAGTTCAATCAGCATCCCTGAAGAGGAGCTTTAGGTTATAATTGTGACTAGGTTTATGTACGCCATATAGAATGGCTTGGCACTGCACACCACCAAGACCCTTAAAAAGGCCTCCTGAAGTGTTTATGTGATCATAGAGACAGACCAAAATACTGTCTCGACCAGCAACGAAGTGATCTACTGGCGATTAAATGGGCGACATAGTCGATGAAGATGAAGAAGGTGAAAAAAGAATAACAAACCCACTGCCACCCTAAGAAAAAGGGATACATTAACAAGTTTGCTGAAATCCAGTGTGTTGGGTGGAAAGGTGTTGATATCACAGCCTAGCTGTAAACCGCAACTTGACACTCCTCATTTTTAAAGGTAAGCACAGAAGTTATTATCAAATAGGGATTCAAAGCTGTCACTTACAAATGACAACAGGGCCCTACAGCCAATGCAAGTGTACCTCAACGAATTACCAACTACACAATTATATAGATTAGTTGCGTATCCTTTACAGGACGTTGCAGAACCAACCCCAACAGCCCCTGGCTGTTGTGTGGTTTTTCTAGGCAAATTTACGTCCAGTAGTTTGCCATTGCTTTCTGGACAGTCGGCTTTCTTGATACCACTGTCGAAACCAACGCAAGGCGCATGGCCCGCAGATGGGATCGAACCCGGCATCCCAGCATTACAAAGCATTTGCATCGACTTAGCCACAGAGCCGACTACAAAATTAAATAGTCGAACTAAAAAAAAACAATAAAAAACTACGGCTGACAAAACTTACAATTAACACAAACTGTCAATGAACACATGAAATAAAATTACTTTATTGGTAACGACACTTGTCAATAATGTTAGTTATACAAATGGCCGATCACACAGGGTTAACTTTTTCACAAAAAACAAGGTAAGCAAACAATCAGTCATACAATGTGAAACTTTCTTCACAAAAAAAGTTCAACATATGATCCATGATACAACATGAAACTTTCACAAAATACAAGTTGAAGAAATGATCACAGTTTTCTATCTTGTTTGCTAATCTGGGCTACACTAATACATCAAAAAGAGAAAAAGAGATAACTGTCAAACATCTTTGTTCATGGACTGTATACATTATTGTAGCCCATCAATAGATAGACGGGTAGCAGTCGGAGAAAGTGTACAACCAGGACAAGAGACATGGTATGTTGGAGATCCATTGCAGCCAACATTCAACAACAACAACAACATTATAATAATATAGGTAACAGAGCCAGAGGTCGACCATGCAGAAGATCGGCTGCAGAAATAGACTCTGAAAAAAGGACTTTATACGAAGCACATAGAAGGGCCCATTCCAGAGTTCTGTTTCTCCCCTGACACTGCAGAAGCTACAGTGCCAGGTAATAGCAGCAGAAGCTACAGTGCCAGGTAATAGCAGCAGAAGCTACAGTGCCAGGTAATAGCAGTAGAAGCTACAGTGCCACGTAATAGCAGCAGAAACTACAGTACCAGGTAATAGCAGCAGAAGCTACAGTGCCAGGTAATAGCAGCAGAAGGTACAGTGCCAGGAAATAGCAGCAGAAGCTACAGTGCCAGGAAATAGCAGCAGAAGGCACAGTGCCAGGAAATAGCAGCAGAAGGCACAGTGCCAGGAAATAGCAGCAGAAGCTACAGTGCCAGGAAATAGCAGCAGAAGCTACAGTGCCAGGTAATAGAAGCAGAAGCTACAGTGCCAGGTAATAGCAGCAGAAGCTACAGTGCCAGGTAACAGCAGTAGAAGCTACAGTGCCAGGAAATAGCAGTAGAAGCTACAGTGCCAGGAAATAGCAGCAGAAGCTACAGTGCCAGGTAATAGCAGCAGAAGGTACAGTGCTAGGTAATAGCAGCAGAAGCTAAAGTGCCAGATAATAGCAGCAAAAGGCACTATTGCCAGGAAAAAGCAGCAGACCAGCATGAAGATGGGCACAGGATATAAGTGACACTTTGGTAAGAAATCTGCATGAGGCGGGACAACTGGCAAGTGACAGTTTCTTTTAGGTGGGTTGTGATGGCAGTGATGTTTTGTAAAGGAGCTGCTGGCTCAATGCGTGAATAGGTTCCTTTATTTACCAGACACAAATATTCATTCAAATATCAGACAACAAAGGCGATTGAGAGTGCTGATCACCACTGCTGGCTCAGGTCACCTGAGAACATGGTGTATAAACTGGGTTGCTTGTTTGATTTCAAAGAGACATAATGTTAAATTTCAAACGACCAAGAAGAATGAAAACAAGCCACAGCAACGAAAGAGCTCTCTCACATTTATCTCGACAATACATGAATTAAAATGTCACCATAAATATATTTATACGTAAAGATGAATAACATGTCAGCATTTATGATATGGGGGACAAGTTACGACAAGATTATATCATTCTGAATTGATAAGCTCCCCCATCTACTTCTTCTGTCCTCTATCATCTTTATCACAAACTTCCACTTTTGCTTAAAATCTTCATGGGGAGATATTTTACATGAACATGCAGACAGACTGGCTTGTTCTGCATGACTCAGAGGTCAGTAAATTGATGCACGACAAGCTAGGTGTTATAAGGGCCTTTTGGAAGTGAGTTAACAGTGCAGAGGCACCAAGAGAACATCACAGTCTGAAGATGGGATCTCGCTATCTCCTTGCGTTGTGCTCGTTTACAACATAACTGTGATAACTGCGCCTTTTGGCCGACACATCTGACTTCTGGGTTAGCCTTCCTGGCATTGTATTATCTCACATTGTTTTTTCATCAGCATTCAGTCATACAAGGTTTTTAGCAGGGGTGTTTTTTTTTTTAGAAGAAAAACAAAAGTACTATTTTCTTTATAAAGTGCCAGTAGGCAGGTAGGTAAGTTGTACCCAACCAGGACATTACACAAGCGATAAACACCCAGTGACACAAAGTGCCACCATGCGGATGAGGATCACCCGTGGACAGGTCCTGGAAACCCCTGTTAGGCCCGCTATATTTAGGGCCCCTGACAAAAGCCAGGGTGGGGCTTCAAAATAACTAAAAATTGCATCCCACATGGGGATAACGGTTCGTTTGCCAGGACCCTCCATAAAGTGTCTATTACACTAGCACTGACAGAAATTACACCTTAAAAAAAAAAAGATAGGTTTCTGTACTGCATTCATTGCATCTTTTTCTTCTCTCTTCCACCTTGTACCTGAGCGAAGTGTTGGGGTGAGATGTAACGTTCATTGATGAGCTCTGTCAAGAGCATTATTGAGACTGATGTTCATTTCTGTAAGGCCAACACTCCATATTTTCCGATTGTCTTCAGCTCGCTCTATACCCGTTGTAACGTTTTAGTGTGGCTCGCTGTTGTAGATAGTACCAGTGCATTCTTGTTAGGTGTCCAAACCACTTCATTTGTTGTTCTTTGATGACTTGTAAGACTGGCTTTATTCCTAGCATTTGTCCGATTTCATATTCTGTCTTTCCTTGACTCCTGCAGCTCTTCTAAGGCATTTCATCTCTGTTGTCACAATTTTATGTTTATTAGAGGATATGTCTAGGTTTGGCATTGATAGTATATATATATATGCTGCATACTGCCAGAAAAAAAAAAGCACTGGTTTTCAGAATGTCTTCTTTTTCAGCATTCTGAGCCCATGAGGTTTATTGCTGCAGATATCATTTATCTCCATTCACCTCTCTGGTTGGCCTTCTCTTTCCAGTTGGTGACACCAAGTGTTTGCAGGTCTATCTGGACATTATCTCTCCATTTTCTTCTTGGTCTGACTCATGGTCTGAGACCATTCATCTCCCTTGTTTACAGTTTTCACTTCTCTGTCATCTGACATTCTGTCAATATGCCCCAACCATTTCAGTCTGCCATGATGCCAGTGATCAATGTTGACTTAGATTATGAATTTTGTTGTTGCTTTTCACACTCCACTCCCCGCTGTTTGCATCTTTGATGAAATGTCTCCCTTGTCTAATATGTGGCTGCTACTGGAAAATTTGACACCACACTGAGCAGGAATTCTCTGTACAAATGGCCATCCAATATTTTATTGCCTTTTGGCCTCAAATGGAGCATAGGAACCCAACCAACTCAAGCCAAGCATTCAATGCTTTTTTTTTTTTTTGCTGCTTGCATCTCACTCCATGGCACCCCTATCTTCTTTATTTCACTCTATAATTCACTTCTGCATGTGTTTTTTGGTCGGCTTTTATTCTTTTGCCACCGCTGGTTTCAGTGCAAAGAAATTCTAGTTATAGTGTAACCAGGTTTTCATCAACAACTTTCTCATTCAATACCAGCATCTTTTCCTCACCTCCTGGTTTACTGTAATCTGGTTTCTTCTCTCCCAAAGCTCTACAAACAGTAAAAAAAAAAAAAAAAACTTTAAATTAAATTTGTACAGCATAAATTCTCAGCTCTTCATGTACGAATTAAAAAAAAAAAAACTGAAACAAGAAACGAAACAAAATGATAATAATTCCTCAATCATAAAGTAAAAACCTGACCCTCAAATGTTCTGACATGTTATATTCCATACAAGAGTTGCCTGCCCTTCAATCATACTCATGACTGCTCTCCCTTTGTTTGGCAGAACCAGTCTTCTCTGTCTTGCCCTGGTTGACTCTGACAATACTTTCGGTGTTTCCAGATTTGGTTACTCTTTCAAGGAAAAAAAAAAAAAAAAAACTTAGTGGAGATTTCAAATTTGTTAAACTGCAGGCAATAATACAGATGCTTTCATGACATAACAATCATCATAATCATATGAGAAAGCAATCACTAATTACAGACTTAAATCTTTGAGTCCCAAGCAACGCCTGATGCGGGAATGACTTTACACACTGATTTACTTCCTAAGCTTAACATGTTCTCTTAATTTTTACATTTGGTTGGAACATACTAAAGAAATTGGCTTTCCTAACAGTCACCAGCCTTGTGTATATTGCCACTTAGAAAGTAAGTCACTCATTATTTTTAACATGGTTATTTCGTTACTTTGCCGTCTCCTTTTAAATCTTCTTTTACTGAAAGGGTTAACCCCCCTGATCCCAGAAACTATATATATATATTTTTTTAATCAGGGCATGCGGAGGGCATGATCCCACTGAAATCCCAGGAAAAAAAAAAATCATTTATAAAACAACAATTTTACATTGCCCATTAAAACATTTGTCAAAAATGCACTTATCTACATTTTAAAATTATCTTAAATAAACAAAGGGAGTAATTAATAAACAGGAACAGGGTGAAGCACTAAATGGAATACATTCCCCGGGGCATGCATCAAAAAAAAAAAAAAAAATTATTTACCATGCAACTCACGTGACCTCTACCACCTCTACGCTTATGGGGTAATCTGATGTCAATTTGGCTTTAGAAAAAGCTATTTGGCTCACAGGAAAAACCCCTAAATGCTATTTTTAGTAAATGTATTCATATCCTGACCTCCTAAACATTTGTGTTGGCCCAAAAGCAACAAAAGCCTTAACTATGTGTTTTGGTAAACAGGTCACTATAGATAAGTCGGGAAAGTGATATTTACCAGAAACTGGACTCAATTGGAAGTGTTAGTTTTGCAGCATTTCAGGATGACAGTGTCAAAATGTAAATGCTTTCAGTTCCAGTAGCATACTGGTTGTACACATGTCATATTCTTCCTCTCATTCTGCACTTTTTTCCCAGATCCAAACTTTAAACTTTAAAGTGTAGGCCGTGGTGGTTCTGCCAATCAGTGCAGGTGGCGCTGATTCGCCACCTCACACCAGCTCTTGAATCCTGGATCTAGTCTGTGTTCTTGTCCTACTTATATTATGTGGCCAAGACATTCAGGAATTGATCTGACTGATTTTCCCTTGCATCAAGTCTGCCTGCCCTTGCATCAAGTCTGCCTGCCCTTGCATCAAGTCTGCCTGCCCTTGCATCAAGTCTGCCTGCCCTTGCATCAAGTCTGCCTGCAGTCAGCAGGTTTTCAAATTTATTATTCCACATTGAACACCCAATAAGAACAATTTGAATTAATAATTGTCTCTATTTCATAGATCATTTTACTTTCATAGTATCTTAAAGACACTTCCACTGTCATACTACCTCACTCGCATAATCTCACACACATCCTCACTCTCATACTATCTCACAAACATACTCACTTTCGTACAATCACACACACACCAACCTCTCATACTATCTCACACACATTCTCTCTCACACATTATCTCATAAATATACTCTCATACTATCACACATGCACACACACATTTACTCACTCTCATACTATCTCACACACACATTCACTGTATCAAACACACACACACACATTTATATATATATATTCACACACAGAAGACTTAAGCTGTACTCACACTTCATCCATCTCAATGTCCTCCTCATCACTGTCCAGTGGCACCTGTAGGTAGGGGTTGTCGCTGGTCGGCCGGAACTTGTAGCCGGTCAGGGTGAAAAACACCAGCAGGAAGATCTCTTCAAACAGGTCCTTCATCCAACCATAGCGGAACGGCAGAGTGATCTAAGACACATTTGTAAAACAAAGAAATGGTACACTTGTGCTTTTGTGGTAAAGAAGAACAAAAGAGAACGTTTTAAGCACATCCACCACCGACGGCAGCCAAACTTAAATGATTCGATACTCATAAACCGCACCCCACTTCCCACTGTAATACTTCTTCTTTGCATACAGTCACCTCTGGCATCTGAGCAACTTACAACAACACATTCCAGAAACAACAGTTGTTCAGAGAAAAAAGAGCTACAAAAAGAAAGCTGCGCACTTTCGGGACACAGTGTACCAACCGATTCCAATAAATGCGAGCCGGTTTTCGGTATGGTGTGTATAGACGACAAAGGAAGGCATCTCATTACTTTAGAACATAGGATAGCCCATGGGGACCGCCTCGAAATCTCGCAGCCGAACGAGATGAGGTGACTTGTGTGAGTAGTACCCTGTATTCCATTATTTTTCTGCCCTATATCCCTAAATTTAAAAGACATAACACATTTTTAAAAGCCATTCTGGAGGGAAAGGTCAAAGGCAAAAAAGCAAGAGGTAGGCAAAGATACAAGTAGGAGGACAACATAAAGAGATGGACGGGCAGCAGCCTGAGAGAGTGTACAACCAGGACAAGAGATGGACGGGCAGCAGTCTGAGAGAGTGTACAACCAGGACAAGAGATGGACGAGCAGCAGTCTGAGAGAGTGTACAACCAGGACAAGAGATGGACGGGCAGCAGTCTGAGAGAGTGTACAACCAGGACAAGAGATGGACGGGCAGCAGTCTGAGAGTGTGTACAACCAGGACAAGAGATGGACGGGCAGCAGTCTGAGAGAGTGTACAACCAGGACAAGAGATGGACGGGCAGCAGTCTGAGAGTGTGTACAACCAGGACAAGAGATGGACGGGCAGCAGTCTGAGAGAGAGTACAACCAGGACAAGAGATGGACGGGCAGCAGTCTGAGAGAGTGTACAACCAGGACAAGAGATGGACGGGCAGCAGTCTGAGAGTGTACAACCAGGACAAGAGATGGACGGGCAGCAGTCTGAGAGAGTGTACAACCAGGACAAGAGATGGAGGGGCAGCAGTCTGAGAGATCGTACAACCAGGACAAGAGATGGAGGGGCAGCAGTCTCAGAGAGTGTACAACCAGGACAAGAGATGGACGGGCAGCAGTCTGAGAGTGTACAACCAGGACAAGAGATGGACGGGCAGCAGTCTCAGAGAGTGTACAACCAGGACAAGAGATGGACGGGCAGCAGTCTGAGAGTGTACAACCAGGACAAGAGATGGACAGGCAGCAGTCTGAGAGAGCGTACAACCAAGACAAGAGATGGACGGGCAGCAGTCTGAGAGAGTGTACAACCAGGACAAGAGATGGACGGGCAGCAGCCTGAGAGAGTGTACAACCAGGACAAGAGATGAACAGGCAGCAGTCTTAGAGAGTGTACAACCAGGACAAGAGATGGACAGGCAGCAGTCTGAGAGAGTGTACAACCAGGACAAGAGATGGACGGGCAGCAGTCTGAGAGAGTGTACAACAAGGACAAGAGATGGACGGGCAACAGTCTCAGAGAGTGTACAACCAGGACAAGAGATGGAGGGGCAGCAGTCTGAGAGAGTGTACAACCCGGACAAGAGACAGGACGTGTTGGAGACCCATTGCAGCCAACATTCACTGTGGAGATGGCACCTGATTGATCCCTAAATGGAGTATAGGATCCCAATCAACTCCTGCTAGGTTACCAACTATTTTTATTGCATGTAGCTCAACTCAGGTCCTCTTCTTCATTTCACTCTCTAACTCCCATCTGCATGTGTTTTTAATGGTCTGCCTTTATTCATCTGTCACTGCTGATTCCAATGCAAAGACATTCCTATCTACGCTGACCATGCCCCCAAACTTTTCTTGGTCACAGCGCCTTTTTTCAATTAAAATTGTTCTACGTCGCCCTAGCCTATGTAAAAGTATGACTATTCGTGTCTTGGTTAAATTAATTATGAAGCTTTTACAATATTTTGCGGCGCCCTTGTGAAGAGGTCGCTGCTCCCCGGTGCGCCGTGGCGCAGTTTGGAAATCACTGAGGTAAACAATTATTTTACAGTAGCATACCTGCAGCAGGTATCCAATGATCCTGGTAAAATATATGTAGGCGACTACCTGTAGGGAAATAATGAACAGAAGTTAGTGCATATAATGAACACAATTCAGGTGTATATACTGAACACCTGTTATGTATATAGTAAACAAATGTGTGCTGTACATGTTTATGTTTATTCAACGGATCCACATCATGGCACACAGGTGTAACCCACACATGCTTCATTCTTCTTTTAACTCAAGCCTGAGTCAGAAGAATCTCAGCGCAGTGCACAAACTTCATTGCACCGGCGAGAATCTTGAAATACTCAGGATAGATTTTCAACTCCAAATTTTGCCTGGGCAGCAAAGTTAGGCTACTCTCTTCTATTTCTAACTGCCAAGGGATTTTTTTTACATGCGCAAGAATACACATGGGTGTCCGATCTTACTACCCAGAGACCAGGGGGAAATTACTAGAAGTCCTTGTGAAAAAATTCCAGCCTTCACCGGGGCTTGAACCGGGAAACCTCCAGCACTCGAGGCGGACACCATATTTCGAGACCACTCATCCTCCCAATACATAATAAGTATGTCTGGTGTTGTATCATCATCATCATCACCTTCTTGTACCGTTATATGTCACATACTGCTCACAGACGAAAGAGAAATAAGCCTTGTTTAACTGTATGTTTACGTATGCAACAGTGAGGAGCACAGAAACAGAGCAAGTATGCGGAAACCCAATCACAATGAAGTTGAAACCTCGTCTAAGACTATGTATATGTGTGTATGTGTGCATGTATTTACACAGAACAGCACATAAATATTAATATACATTTGAAATAATATGAAATATATAAACATATTTTAAAACTGAGATCTTCTTGCTATACATGGCTTGAAACGAAAAGAAAGGGGGCGGGGGCAAGACGGCCGCCAGGTTCCAGTGCCCCTTGTCTCCCAATGTAGCATGTGCCCGCAACTAACCCAAGCCAAGTCTTAGCAGACTTATTCACTAATGGCTGGCTTTTGCAGCTAAGGTTTTCTCTTTAGGACTAGGTAGCCAGTCTCATACCAATCATCCTTAGTTCCATCTTAGGACACGTATCATGGGATAGTTTTCTGTGCTTCCCTAATGAAGTCCAGTCAGATTTTAGGACCTGCAAGATAGGACAGATTTCTGTGCTTCCCTAATGAAGTCCAGTCAGATGTTAGGACCTGCAAGATAGGACAGATTTCTGTGCTTCCCTTATGAAGTCCAGTCAGATGTTAGGACCTGCAAGATAGGACAGATTTCTGTGCTTCCCTAATGAAGTCCAGTCAGATCTTAGAACCTGCAAGATAGGAACAGATTTCTGTGCTTCCCTGATGAGTCCTAGTCAGATCTTAGGACCTGCAAGATGGGACAGATTTCTGTGCTTCCCTGATGGACCCTAGTCAGATCTTAGGACCTGCAAGATAGGACAGTTTTCTATGCTTCCCTGATTAGGCCCAGTCAGATCTTGAAACCTGCAAGATAGGACAGATTTCTATGCTTCCCTGATGGGTCCTAGTCAGATCTGTTTTTCCATAAACAAAGCACAAATTCCATTCTCTTTATGTCTAATTAGTGGCAGTTTAAAACAAAACTTACCACTGCCATCCTGCCCCCGAAAAGTAAAAGACTGGGCCGACATTCTCAATGCTCTCGATGGAGGCAGGACGAGAAGAGGATTCAGGAGACAACGCTGAATCGAAAACACTCAAAAGACTACAGAAACTTCAGGTCACAGGAGGTGACGCCAAACATGAACACTACAGAGGTGGCCAGAGAAACCAACACAGAACCAGTGTTATCAGTGGCCACACACTGGGGAATATACTGAAGATGGGATCCGAGCGCTTGAACACTTGAACAGAACAGACCAAGTCACAGTTTTTCGCTTACGCACTGGACACTGCAGACTCAATAAACACTCACATAAATTAGGTATGAGCCAAACAGCTCTCTGCCAGTGCCTTCGTGCTGAACAGACTCCAGAACATGTCCTGCAAGACTGTCCTCTCCTGGCGGAGCTGCGGAGCGACATATGGCAACACCCAGTAGAACTGACAACTAAGCTTTGGGGAAACCTAAGAGACCTTGAAAAGACATCCCAGTTTATGACCCACAGTGGATTATGCGCATGACCAGAGATCGCTGAAGAAGAAGAAGAATCGAAAACACTCAAAAGACTACAGGAACTTCAGGTCACAAGAGGTGACGCCAAACATGAACACTACAGAGGTGGCCAGAGAAACCAACACAGAACCAGTGTTATCAGTGGCCACACACTGGGGGATATACTGAAGATGGGATCCGAGCGCTTTTAAACCTGTTCGATCTGAATGAGGCTAATCTGTCGATTAACCAACTGACTGACTGACTAACTAACTTACTAACTAACTAACTAACAGTTTTCTGTGCTTCCCTGATGGATGCCAGTAATTATACTACACAGTAAAACCTCATTAACACGTACTTGCTTAAGATAAACACTCTGATAACATAAACAAATGCTGGTCCCAGCAGAGTTTTATTATCCATAATACATCTACTAGTCCCGGTTAGAAGAACGGCTGTCTGAACAGTTATTAAGAATGCCAGACTTTCATGCAAGAGACTCAGGTTCGAATCCTCGGTAAGGTCATAGATTTTTTATGTCTAGGGCAGAAAATAACATTCTAACCTGCACAGTCTGGGGCGACAGCACTAGCCATTCGGCCCTAAATCCCCAGGCTCAAAAACCCTGTGCCTTCGCTGCAAAACGTGACAAATACAGGCAGTAATTCGCAGTATAGCTTTTTGTGTGTGTGTGTGTGGTGTGTGTGTGCGTGCGTGTGTGTGTGTGTGTGTGTGCATGCATGTGTGCGCGCTTGCGTGTGTGTGGGGGAAGGGATCTCAGTCATCGGCTT